AGTCACTACAGGTACGCTTTTGGAGTGTGTACAAGAAGGGATATTGTCGCGCACCTTTTCTGTTAAATATATGTTTAGCCCATAAAGGCATCGAAAATCAATAACAAAGATTCACGTTAATTTACTAGTCATTTAATAATAAGCTAAGTCCTTCACAGTTAAAAAGACGCATTCTGATCTGGCTGAAATATCTTGTGATTATTCTGAACTTTAATGAATATGTAACCCCTACTATTAGTAAAATTTTAGAAACGAAGGCACATTTCCGAATTATGGTTAACATTGCGCTAGTCCCCCGATTTTGGAAAGTATGATCAAGGCTCGTACATTACCCCACACGCTCTGTAGGCGGTCATACGTGAATTCTCCCTTTCCCTTGATAGGATCACCTCGAATCGGTGCGCTCCTTTGTATGCATCTACAAGCAGTTTCAGGAGAACTTGTCCTCCATGTCTTCGACGCTCGCAAGCCTGGAAGGCATCACTTCCAGCCGCCGGCCAACGACGGTCAATTTGGAGGATTACAGCAGCTTACAGCTGCGCATCCCTAAACTTGAAGAGGCAATGCAACGAGAGGAGGCGCTGAGGCAGCAACTGAAGGGCCTTCAGGCCCTGGCCAATCAGCTTAGCGACCTTGAAATGCCAAAATTCTCGAGTGCATCAACTTCCGCCCAACGGGAAACAGAGGCCATTGCGAAGAAGGTGGATGAATACTTTGAGGCAATTCGCAGCGACTATGACAGGGTGAGGCTCCCTGATTGGTTTTTTTTCTCAACCGGTTGTTATTTGTGACGAGCTTCTTGTCAGACTAAGTACAAAACTCGTGATACATCCCCATGTTGTGGTGAATCGGCATCGAAGTATTCATTTTCAGTCTACTTAATATCACTAATCAGTGCTGCTGCTCAGATGCAAGGTCAGGCACCTGGCTGTTGAAGGCAAATACGCTAGACATTTTCAGTCCAGTCTTCCCTGTCTTTGTTGATAAAAATTATCTGCTGCGGATTGCTATTCGTCGGACGCACATCAGGCCCCGTGGGCTGTTGACATGCATTTCTTAGACAAGATGCGTAAGGAAGTTTCCTTCTTGCAAAATCAAAAGCTACTGCTCCATGCCTTGTGACTTAATATTTCCAACACTCCACCTGGCTTAAAGTACTGATTCTTTCGTGGCTGCTGGCAAACGCTACAGATAAAACTCCAAGGTCCACCAGCATCAGCATTTCTCGTAACCTGATCGTAAACGCTCTGCTTACAATCACAGCCAACGAATCAACAGGCCTATGGCTCGGGAATAGGGCGCTGCACTTAAAAGGCTTGATTACCAAACAAATTGGGTTCCCTGGGTCGTTTTAAAGTCCCCGGAGGTCGAAAAAGTGATGTGAGGCGCCACTGGCTGGATATTCTCTTGCATATCTGAACAGAATACTACCGTGTTCATCATCCCCAGAAGAGGAAGAATAAGGAAAGGGGCAAGTGCTGGGACCAAATTATTTATTTGCTGACGTTTCAAGAACATGCTCATTCTCATCGTCAAAGCATGGTGCTTACTCTTCCGCTGGCCTTGAATTAATGGGCCTCGAAGCTAGCCTGGTGTTATACCCATGTCCGATGCACGTGCGTTCGTTCGCCCGTTGGCTGTTGATTGGCGCCATCCTCTCCACTATCATTGGCGCTGCGTCAGCATGCTCCTCTGCCTCCCCCTCGTTCGGTGGCCTCACCGTCTCGCACGCTCCTTCGTGAGAACGCATGCCATGCTGGTCATGTGAATCACATTCGCTGCCACCTCCCCTCGCGGACGTCAGCTGCCGGTTCTGCGTACCTTCGTTCACCCTCCCTATCGCCTCGTTCTGTGCGGGCGTGAGTCTCGCGCGGATCGCTTTGTAGATGGGGTTAAACTCGATGACTCTGTTAAGTGTGACAGTCGACGACCAGCTTTCGAGCACTAGCCTGGCCATCTTATCACTGGCCCTGCCGATCACCCTTGCTTTTTGAAAGGCATAAATATGGTTCCGCTGCTGCACATGGCTGTAGACCTTAGAAAGCTCGTCCTTGCGGTTGATTGCGAGCTGGTGCTCATGCACCCTTGTGCTAAGAGAATACTCTAAACAAAAATCAATACAGGAATCAGCCAAAGAAGTCTGCGTGATCGTTCAGCCGCACTAGTTTGCCAAGGTCGACCACGCGCTCCACAGGACAGTACCGAAGGGGCTTTTTAAGTGGCAGTAGACTCGCGCTGCATCTATCACACTCTCTCTTCCCCCACCCGTCCGAAGACCAAGTCAAGAAGACCAAAGGTGGGCTTAGGCGGAGGCGGCTGGCGGCTGGCGCGGTCTGAGCCTTATCTACGCGTGCCATCACACGTTCTTCCATATTTAGCATCTGCTGATGATAGCTTATCCCGAATACTGCCTGCTGTACGTTGAGCTAGCCCCTGTGTTGGTTAAGCGCATCTATTTCGCTACCCGTTTAGGGGACAAAGGCTAGATAGTTTTACCTCGTATCTCACTGACAAAAAACATTGAGCTTACCTCTGCTCGTATCGGCCTTGTTAGAGAGATATAATTCTTTCGCGTGCGGAGGGGTTTTGTAGCCCTGGCGTTTACATTTTTACCTGAAGAAAATGAAGACTGTTGCCTGTCCAGCACGGAAGGTGGGTCATGACGAGACGCCATTTAGAACTTTGGTACACATTGACAGATATATTAATGATATGCAGCTACCTCGCGTTTAAACCCGAATCTAAGTTGGGGAACTTGTTGCTGTTCCAAATTTAGCTCGATTTAAATCTGATCTCTCACATCACGCTATGACATGATAATAAAAACGTTTGAGTTGACCCAACTGTGAAAAAACTCGAGGCGTTTGGCAGGATTTGAACTCACGTATTATAGAAGGCCTTTACCAGAAGCCATCGCTCTAACCGCTAAGCTACAAACGCCCCACCTCGCGCCATGAATTTAACCACAATTGGGTCGATATTACCCGTCCAACTTTACCGCCCATATGAAATCCACCAATACGGAACAGCAAGCTGACTGCCCAAACAGGATTTCCTAAGCAATCCTCTAGAATCCACCAGAATGTCTAGGAGCGTTGGCTTCCGGTAAAGGCCTTCTCTAATACGCGTGTTCAAATCCCGCCGAACGCTTCGAGTTTTTTTCAAAATTGGGTCAACTCAAATTAAGCAAATCTGCCAAACCCCTGATAATAAAAACGTTCCAAACGATTATAATGCACTTGCCGTTTATCATCTACTTCGGTGGATTTCAGAAGCCTGATAAACGGAATTCTCCTACCAATCTTCTTAATACGCAGTTGAATTTGTTTTTTTTTTAGTAACGTGCGCGCAACTAGGCGACCATATTTTGCACATGTGCGACTTACTTAAAAGTCATTTTCGCCGACTTCAGGTAATGGCGCGACTGAGGGAACACAGCGATCTCGATTCCAGGCTGACGGCCTTTGAGCAGTGGTTGAAACCACTGGAAGCTCAACTCTCTCAGCAGTCACCTTCTTTGGAAAGTCCCGCCTCCATGGAAACCCTGCTTCACCGTTGTCAGGCCTCAGCCCTGCAATACGCCGAGGTCTCCAGCGCTCTGAACTCCGAAGGCCCAACCCAGATTGCGGAACTGGTGGAGACCGCGGCCAGCGCGCCAGTGGGTGGTTTCAGAGAACGGGCTCTTGCACTCAAGGCCCGTCTAACTGCCGCTATCAAGTCTGCAGAAGGCAAGGAACATCAGGTGGAGAAGAACCTGTTCCTGTGGAAGGAGGCCATCCTGGGAGTGCGGGACATCACCGCGTCGCTGGATGCATTTGAGGAGACCTTGGGGAAATTGGAGGACCAGGCTGAACATCCACAACCTCCAGCGTCGACAGTGGCAGAACTTGTCAGCGTCAAACAAAAGAGTTTAGCGTCAAATATCCGACAGTTAGAAGTAAGTCATCCAATTACCTTCCATTCCGGCGGAAATCTAGAGTTG